GGCGGCGCCTGCAGGCGACCCGGGCGCGGCTCGGGGAGCAGCGCCGGGTCCTGGCCGCCCTCGTGGCTGAGCTGGAGGAGAAGTGTCTGCAGTCGAGCGCCGAGATGCTCAAGGTGCGCTGGGATCGGGATCGGGATCGGGATGAGGAACAGGGTGATCGCCGCCGGGGATGGGGTCAGCGGCCAGGATGGAATTGGGTTTGCCCAAACCCTTGCCCCAGAACGAGCTTGTCGCTGGGGTGGGATCCCTGGGGATGGGATCGATTTTTGGGGACAGGATAGCCCCCGGGAATGGGATCGGTTTTGGGGACAGGATCGCCCCTGGGAATGGGATTGGGTTTGGGGATGGAATTGCCAGGGGTGGGATTGTTTTTTGGGATGGGATCCCTGGGGATATGGGATCTGGGGACAGGATCCCCAGGGTACAGGATTGGGTTTGGGGGCAGGATGGGCTTTGGGGACAGGATAGTCCCCAGGGAAGGATTGGTTTTGGGGATGGGATCCCCAGGAACAGGATTGGTTTTGGGGACAGGGTCGCTGCAGACAGGATTGGTGCGGGGGATGGCATCACGGGGGACAGGCTTGATTTTTGGGGACAGGATCATCAGGAAAGGGATCGGCTTTGGGGCAGGATTGCCCCTGGGGCTGGGATGAGGGACAGGATCGGTGCTGGCATCGGCGATGAGGGCCAGGATCCCTGCGGTTGGGACCGATCCTGCCCCAGAGATCGACCTTGGGGGGTGGATCTAGCACACGTAACCCCCCTTTTCTCCTGCTTTCCCCCCATTTTCCTGCTTTCCCCCATTTCAGGACATCAAGGACACCCTGGCCAGGTAAGAACCGTGCAGGCGATCCGGGCCGCCATTTTGGGGCAGAAAAGCGGGATTTGGGGACACGTCAGCCGACGTGTCCCACCTCCCCCGGGGCCGGGCCTGCCGTTAGGTGTGAAGCAGCGGCAGCACCGGTGGAAGAACCGGCTTCCGTCCCCATCGAGCTGGAAAAAAACTTCTGCAGTTTTCCCCGGCAATACTTCACCCTCCGGAAAATCACCCGGCGTCTCATCGGTGAGTAAATCCCCGCTCACGCCGTAGCCGGGACCCCCGCAACCGCGCTCCTCGCCCCCTAAATCTTTTCTGGCTGTTGCCGTCCAGGCGAGGTGACGCTGGATCCCGACACGGCGCATCCCAACCTGGTTTTATCGGAAGATCGAAAAAGCGTTCGTTTCGTGGAAGTTCGACCCCGGGATTTACCCGATACCCCGCGACGTTTCACCATCTACCCCTGCGTTTTGGCGGCGCAGGGTTTTACCTCCGGTCGTCATTACTGGGAGGTGGAAGTCGGCGATAAAACCCACTGGGCTCTCGGTGTTTGTAAGGATTCGGTGAGTCGGAAAGGGGAATTAACGCCGTTACCGGAGACGGGATATTGGCGGGTACGGCTCTGGAACGGCGATAAGTACGCGGCCACCACCACCCCCTTCACGCCGCTGACGGTGCGGGTGAAACCCAAACGGGTGGGGGTCTTCGTGGACTACGAAGCCGGTAAAGTGGCTTTTTATAACGTTACCGATCGCTCCCACATTTACACCTTCACCGATACTTTCACCGAAAAAATTTGGCCGCTCTTTTATCCCGGGATCCGTGCCGGCAGGAAAAACGCGGCGCCTCTCGTTATCCGTTCGCCTACGGATTGGGAGTGAGGGGGAGAGCGGTGCCGGCGGGGTTTGGCTTGATGATACTTGGCAGCTCCGGGATCCGGTGCTCCGGCACTGCTGGGGTTTGGTGATCTGATGTCTGGCACCGCTGGGATCCAGCACTCAGGCATCGCCGGGATTTGGCTCTCTGACATCTGGCACTGCCAGGGTTTGGTGCTCTGAAGTCTGGTGCCACTGGCGTCTGGCGTAGCCAGGGTTTGGCTCTCCAATATCCGGCCCTGCTGGCGTTTGGCTCTTCCAGAACCACTGGGGTTTGGCGCTCTGCCATCTGGCACCACCAGGATCCGGTGATCCGGCACCTCTAGGGTTTGGCTCTCTGATTATCTGGCTCTGCCGGGGTTTGGCGCTCTGCCATCTGGCACCACTGGCATCCGGTGATCCGGCACTGCCGGGGTTTGCCTCTTGGACATCCAGCACCACCATGATCCGGGCTTTGGCGCTCTGACATCCGGCACGGCCGGGGTCTGGCGCTGCGGCACCCATGGAGTTTGGCGCTCTGATACCTGGTGCCACCGGGGTTTGGCTCTCTGGCGGCGGCGCCGCGGTTTGGCTCTGGCACCATCAGCATCGACGGCGTTTGGCTCTCCGGTCTCCAGTGCTCTGGCACCGCTGGGATTTGGCTCTCCGGCACCACCAAGCTC